GGCCATAGAACTTGTTCCATTTCAAACTTTGGACCTGTATATGTGACAGTATCCATCCGTTCGTATGTTTTATTTTGATCACCTTTTAAATATTTTCTACGTTCATCAAGATTTTCAAAGAATGATATATGATTTGATGGATGCCAATCATGAGTAAAAGCAATAATATCAAATGAGACTGTTTGAAGCAAATGATTGATAATAGGAACAACTTCGGCACCATTTTGTCGAGCTGAAGAATTAGATAATGCAAGATTTCCAGTAATAAAACAATCTTGAACATCAACAATAATAAATGCATTGACCATACGCAAAGAATTTTTATCTATCACGATAAAAAAAATATAAGAGAAATCAAATCAAAACTATCTGCTTTGAAATGAAATAAAATTCTTACCTGTTGATATCTGGTTGTTCATCGTTTGGGTTGCTAAAACAGAATTACTCGTAATAATCAAATTAAAGACAAGAAACACAGTGTTTAGCCAGTTGCTATTAAAGAAGATTGTCATGTTGTTAACGCAGATTATTTCAAAGTATAATACAAAATGTTCTATAAGAAATAGGTCAAGAACAAAATTCGAGTAGCTACTATGATTAATTAAAAATTCTAAATGATCTAAAATTTGTTGAATTTGAAAAATTAAATACTGTAAATACAGATAATTCTCAGGTTTTTTAGCGTTATATTGAAAATACGATTAATTATAACTTTAATTCTACGTTAAATGTATTATGAGCAGTATAGATAATAAAATCTAAATCTATTCTATCAATAAAACTCATCTATGAGATGAATGATTTTGATTAACCTATGATAATGCATCGAAATTTGATCGAAAAAGAAATCTAACTACACTGAAATGTATTGTTTTACCCTATGCTGTCGACAAAATTTTTGATACACCGCTTATATGAATGATTGTAAAAGCAAATAAGAATATTGACGATGGCAATATCAACTTTCTCGCCTTTATAAATGCAAATAAATAAACCCTATAAGAAAATAATATTTATAAAAAAGAAATGCGAGGTTTTTGTCAAGTATATGTTTCTCAATCCTTTTGATGAATTGCGGATTAACTTACAAAAGAGCCTATCAAGATATCAATCTGTATGATTTCAGTGCATCCGTAATTTTATTCTTGTGAAGTGTGTAAGAGTATAGAAATATGAACCTGCCACCCTCGCTTCCTCACAGACGTGATAAATATTTGAACTACTTGGTAATGAATTAGTTACTCATCACATACTGTGATGTACATTTTCAAAGGAGTATGGGGAGATTATTTGCAATTAATATCGATGGAGTATTTTGTTGTTATGGAAGCTCGATATTATAAGGTAGGCAATCATGAAGAGATATGCTGAAATATAAATTTCAAAAAAAAACAATTATTAAGGAGTTAACAGAAACGTATGCCTCATGTTTCACATTTTAATCTCTCAAAGATTGCGCTAACAACTTTTTTTTCTCATATATTTTCTACTTATCAATAGAGAGCTTCTCCTTCTGAAAATACTTGATCAAATATGTAGGTAGAATAATATATGCGTGTTGTCATATAGACTCTTCATTTAAAATGTAATTATTCAATCTACAAATAAATTTGATACTATTGTTATTGAGACCTTATAAACACTCAGTAAAGGTCAAACAAAAATATCATATTCGTTTCGTTTTTCATAGTCAATATTTACGGCATAATTCATTTGACAAATGATCAGCTGTTTAACGTTAACAAGAATTGAAGAAGACATTTGGCTTGCTAAGTTTTTTCCATACTCATATTGATTTTTTACTATTCAGATACTCAAATAATACGATATAACTGATACTTCAGATTTATTAGTAATTTACGAGAAGACTCTCTTTCTCTCTCTCATTATGAAATATCAAATTTTAATAAACTTTGACTTTTTATCAAAGATAACATCTGTAAGTAAAAATCTTTCTACTAAAGAATGAATATGTAGACAATTATATAAACTATGACAAAATATTTTCCTAAATCAAATAATAGCAGATCAATAGTAATTTTATCACAAAGAACAACACGTTGTTAATACGTATATAGCTTTAATCGAAACTGACATTTTTAATAATGATATGACACAGAAACCTATATTTTTCATTTAAGAGAATGTTGACTGGTCCATACTGTAAAGTATATTATTAAGACACATGAAAGAGACGAAAAAGTAAGATTTATATCAGAATTGAAAAGAGAGGTTATGTATAAATAAAACATCACGGTAATATTACCTAGAAGAACATTTTTGATCAATGAAGATGCAATATAGATGGATAAAATTAGTTTCGACCGACTAAACATCAAATAATTAAAGGGCATGACAACTGTCTATTCTTATCGTTTAGTACAAAAATCTTTCAGTTCCATCCTTTGTAATGAATATGATCTATTAGATATGACAATACACTCTTGTTCATTATAAAATTTCAACTAATTGAAACCAATACAATGTGTATTAAATCATAGTAGGATCGATAATTTATAAAAGTGTCTTTAAAAAGTCATCACGTTGTTCGCAGTGGTTTTGATCCTTTGAGTACTTCACAAGGCCACATTCCATACATCATTTTCATCCCAGCCCATTTACGTTCTATTGAATGCCAACCAAGTTCTCGTAATGTGTTCTCATAGAGTGCAACACTACCTTTTAAATCAACGATTAATAACCAACCACCTGGTTTCGTTACTCTAGCACATTCTCTTATTGCACCTTGTTTTTCTTCTTTGTTCGAAACATTATGAATTGCTAATGATGAAGTAACCAGACAAAAAGAATCATCGGCAAAAGGAAGATCAAGAAAAGTACCAGTATGCAGAATAATATATTCTAATAGCTCTGTAGAAGCTGCATTCTGACAGGTAGAAAGCGATGAGTTAGAAGTCTGATCGAAACTGTTAAAAATATCAATACCATAGACAGGTAATGTCGATCTAGCTAGATAATTGATGTATATTATAAAAGATAGAGAATAAATTCAACTTACGTTCGAACACCGTTCGAAATCAATTCTTTTTTCAAACGAGCAAGCATTAGAAGAACCATTCCTCTTCCACATCCACAATCCAGACAAGGTTCACTCAAATCAATATCCTTGACTATATCATGTAAAAGTGCTTCCCATACCTGAAATTTGCCACTTAATGTAGCATATAAATAAAGTGGAGCAGACCACAATGAAGCAATTAAACCTAAAGGAGCATCTATTCCATAGGTTGGAGATGACGGAATGGAAGGTGGACTTGTTTGTTGTCGAAATATTTCAATATGATCGATGGGTATAGGTGATACTCGATATAGAGACATGAGCGAGAAAGAATGACGTCTTTCTATCCCTGAAAATACGCACCCCTATGATGAATACGTGCAAGAAAGCGGTAAGAGTAAGAATTCGTTTCGTTTCTATGTTGTTTATTGCGTATATAACAAAAAGAAAAAGAATTTAATGTCAACATTTACATCGACTATGCTTGAAATAAAATAAAAACATTCTGAATAAGAAAAAATAAATATAATTGTTTGCATAGACAATAAAAAAGAGAATCTTTCATATATATCAAAAAAAACCTTATTGCATTAGTGAAGATAAGCGCTTTTTTAGACCTAAATAGATACTAAACTAAGCTTCTGTTATTGCATGATATGAAATCAAGCGTTAATTATATTAGTACTGTGTTAATTCCATTCGGCTTATACAGTTCAAATCATTAACTATTTATTTTAAGCACATTTGAAATTTATATAACGAGGCTTCTGTTGCGTAATATTGTTATAATAAATTCTTCTTATCTTTTCTGCATCGCATCAGGCGCAAAAACGTTTTTTTTCTGTTTATTTGTGTTGGTGTTTATAATATGATAAAAGGTATAAAACTGATATGAAACGAAAGTTAACAAGATGTTTTCTTTATATGTTATTGGTCGTATATAACTTCTCTCTTTTAAGGCGCAATCTACTTGTTTAGATAAAAAAATATATAACAAAGAATTTATATTATTGTCATATTATAATCAGAAAATGATTGAATTTACTATATAAAATCGTAGAATTTCATATTATTTTTCAGATATGCCATACGTGACATTACCATCATCTAATCAAAATATTAAGCTGCACTATGAGGTACATGGTTCAGGTGATATTAAAGTTTTGTTTATTATGGGTCTGAGAACCGAAGGTCGAGCTTGGAAATATCAAGTGAGAGAGAACATATATTATTGATTCCATATATAGGTTTTTTTTGATCTCTTCTAGACTGATTTCTTCCTTGAGAAATCCAGTTATCAAGTAAGTTAAATAGATGTAAAACTAATAAATTAATTTAAGTAGTGTGTAAGCTATGATAATCGTGGCTGTGGTCGATCGTCAATACCATCAACATTAGAATATACAACAGTTCAAATGGCTAAAGATGCTCTAGAATTAATTGATCATTTACGCTGGCCTCAGTGTCATGTGGTAGGTGTTTCTATGGGTGGAATGATAGCATTGGAATTAGCACTATTAGCACACCGTAGAATTCTCTCACTTACTCTTATGGCTACGCATGCCGGTGGTTTGATTGGTCAGGCTCCATTTCTTGGTATTCGAGGGATCTTTCGATCACTTATACTACGTGATGAAGAACAGTTGGTAAATAATGCTCTTTCTATACTTTATGGTCCAAAAACTTTGAGTGATCCTGATAAACGACAGGTTAATTATAATATCTATCAAATATTCTCTTTTCGATAATATTTAAATTTCTAGTATTTTTTCAATTATCATCGTGAAAGATATAGAACTCGTGTTCCATTGAAACTAGCCGGTATGTTTGGTCAAATGTTTGCTGTTCAACGACATTACATAAGCTATGCTGATCTATTAAAAATTCGATACTCAAATTTTCCTTGTTTGATTATGGTTGGAACTGAGGATCGACTCGTACGTAAAACAAATTCATATATGCTTCAGAAAGTATGTTTTATTTACTATTTAATCAAATAATACATTCATGAGACTTTATTTCAGACACTTGGTTGTCGATTGATCCGACTGGAACATGCAGGACATGATTTAGGAGGTGAATTTGCTGAACAAGTCAATCAAGAATTATTAAGTAAATTGAAAAACAAAGTTCAATGATGTTATTTAGTATTAAGAATTGTTTTCCTTAAAAATAATTATCTATTATCTGCATAGCTTTTTTTGAATCGGTCGATTTAAAGAATCAGTCGTCAGACATACCCGTTGAATATACAACAGAAATACAAGCACTTGAACTTTGCTGTCAGCATAGAACTCATTGTTTTATCTACAATCTTATTGGGTTTTTCAAGGTATAACAATACATATAAGATTTTATCTCATTTATCTTTTTCTATCAAGGGTTCTCTTCTCGGTTCAATTCTTTATTATGCATTAACAAGTGGTTTGATAAGGAATGAATTGATGAGTATCCATTTATGTGCCCGTTGTATGGTACTCATCGGTTGTATACGGTACGAGTAAATAAATTATGTTTTTAATATTTCATTCTATTTTATAGTGGCCTTCGTCGATCGATTGGATGCATTTATAATGCAATTCGAGCTCGAAAATTTGTTAAGAAACAGAAGTTATTCCTAGCACAAACAACTAATAATGATGGCATTGGTTTTAGTTTAACCAATCGACAGAAGAATGGCATTCCGCATGGATGTGGTTTTGAGTTTCCCATCTTACCACTTATCTTTACTGTTTGTCTCAGCAGTCTTGCTTACTGGACAAGACAACACAATTAGTGAATCAAAACTTCTGAAACTTAAAGAACATTATTTTAACTATTATTTAAAGAAATATTATTCTTATTCTAGATCAATATAACTATTTTACAAATAAATATCCCATTCCAGAAACATATTTTTCGATCAGTATATAATCTCTATGAAATAGTTTTTATTTCGAATTAGACGAAATTTGTTATCAAAAGATAAAGAAATACATTCATATTGATTTTATTTGGATTCAAAAGTATAAATGATTTATATCGATAAGTGTGATGAATAATAAATCAAGGAAACTAGTGACTGTTTTTTTTTTATATTTTCCATTCTCTTACCTTTACAATGCACATACATAATTGAAAAAGGATAGTGACTTAAATGATTCATTCCATATAAAGATTGCAAAGGCATTAAAATTCATAAAAAAAATCGAAAACATATGTAAGGTAATTTAATTCTTCGTTGGAATTTTGTTCATTTTAAAACTACAGTAAGATGTTAACTCTTTCAACTTCAACATTTTCTTGCGTTCTGCACGAATACGAAGAAAATTAGTGCAATCTCTCTCTCTCTATATATATATATCGTTCTATGTTCGCAATCAGCTGCATTTAAAGTCTAGCGTTATTATTTCTATGCATAAGAAAAGACGAGAACTAGTTATCTTTAAAAGAATCACGTGCGATGAATAAATTGAATTTGGAAAGATCATATAATGTACGTCATCTATATCATCCGTAAGATGACATTTGGGATTAAAAGGGTTAAGTTACTAATACTGTTCTAATTTTTCTTGAAACCACAACTGTGTTAATGATATCGAAAAAATTGAACTAAATTCTTTTTCAAATACGATATTTAATTAAATAAAGATTTCATTTGAAAAAAAAAAAGTTTTCAGATATCTATTAATTGTCTATGTGAAAAAAAGATAAAAGAATAATTATGGAGTTCTGATATTTTTATCTACTATCTAAATGTAGTTAGTATACTATTTCGAACGAAATATTTAGAAAAATTAACATTATTTATTCAATTTTAGATAAAAAATAATGGATCAAATTTGATTCTTCGATACTAATATACATTGACATATTTTTTTTTGTAAATGAAACAAGGAAAATCTCAATATTCAGTTGACTCTAATGACTTTCATAGAGTGTGTGCAGATATTCATCTTATCTTCTACCACCGTATCCATACTTACATTAATCGTTAGCATCCTGCATCTTTATTAACATGTTTTTGAATAATCCCGGTTTTTTTAAAATGTTATATATATCTATTAACATCTGAATAATACGTTCACTAGTTATGATTACAAATCTAAAACTCAATGCAATTATAAATAAGACATGAATTAATTCAGCTTTAAATTTAAAAAGAAGATGTAGAGCCGTTTGTAGTAGATCATCTTAAAAAATTAAGAATTTTATCAATTATTAAGATATCATAAATAGTATTAACATTTGGACGAAGCTAAAAAAAAGTACATTATTCTGTGTTTATATTTCTATTTTAATTTTTTATTTGAAAAAGTACAAAGACATCAATTATAAATAAATTTAACTGAAATTTGGCTTATATAGAAAGATTATTCATGCATAACACGATGATGACATTGCAGATTTGTTTTTATGCTTTTCATTTAATATAAAAAACTATTCAATTTTCCATTATTAACATCTATTACCTCCTTTTAATTAGCAATTTCAGAATAGGCATAATTAGTTCTTACACATTTTGCATTTTACTATATACTTTTGTTCATCATCAAATAGCAATACAAATATAGATCTTTCTTCCTTCAATATTATTACCAATCACAGGTAGTTGTGTTTGACAAATAAAACATAGTATTTCAACATTATAATGAATTTATTTTTCTCAAAAACAATATCACACTACAACACTATCTAACTAATTGTTTTCTTCTCTCTTTGCTTGGCTGGCTGTTAACCGTTTTTGAATAACATGTAAAGGAACAATAGTAGGTGATCGTCGTCGACAGAAACAATGGAGAGTTTTTTTTATTCGAGTTTTAAGTTTCGGTAAGGTATTGATGCATGCAAACGGAAAGAGAAATATTATGTAATTGTTAAAAAAATTTGCGTATCTGCTATAATCAGCTCCTACATTGGATGGAACACCAAGTTTTTGAGAGATAGCTAGAAGTATAGGAGGTAAATGGAACACGAAAAAGATCAATGCTATGAACATCAACTGAATTGATATTTTACGATATTTTCTCCATTGCATTTGTTGTTGTAAACGATGCTTTTGCAAAGCGATACGAACCATCAGATAAATACTACCAAATCCAATGCATGCAGAAGATAACACACCACCTGACATAAATTCATAGAGAGAATATGTCACACTATCGTATATACAACTATAATAGCTACAATATACTGATTTATAGTTAAATCTTCTATGACAATCATTCATCGGAGTAATAACACCATAAAGAACTATACCATATATGACAATTAAACCTATAGGTAGATAATGAATAAGAAAACGTTTCTTTTTGGTTGATATCCATTGATTATGAAAAATAATGATATGTCTTTCCACAGATGACCATCCGACTAGTTTTGGCACTGTTGAATAGGTAGCACTATCAAAGAATTTCCAAATCATACAAAATGTCGGTGATTGTATCCAAACAACACCATTAAGATAAAAGTACATTGTGAAGGGCATAGTTGTTAACTCAAAAATGATACACAAGACAAGAACAACAATTATAACATGATTATGTAGAGCATGACGGAGAGTTGAATCGAAAAGAAAATGAAAAAGTACAAATAGAGAACAGATGAGTGATAAAATATTTGAAATGAGAAACAACCAGAAACGACCAATGTATGGAATAGCAATACCATCAGAGATTGAAAATGATATAGTTTGTGTTGAATTAGTGTGTGATGTCGACATTATTTTGAATGCAAAACATGTAAATGAATAGGAAAGAAAAAAATGTTGTTTCAAGAAAATAAAAGTGAGGCGGAAATAATAATGATGTCGTTATTAAAAAGAAGCGGTTAAAAAACGAGTACAATATAATTTAGAGAAAAGAGATGCACGTTCTTAAGCACATTCATATACTATAATCATTTTTTTCTCACTTACATTTATATAAAAAAAGATTTGTATGAGATGTTATTAGATTATATTAATTGACAATATAAACGATTATGCCGCTGATATCATTTTTTCTGTTTTTTTTTATTTGATTTCTTAATCAAAATATTATATAAGATTAGTATTTATCTGGTATGGTATTTCTTGACATTATTATCTAGACATAAATTGTTATTATCAAAATAATATTTATATTCAGTCAGATGTATTAAAATTGTGAAATGTATCATGAAAGCATTTGAATTTTATTATAATATCTAATCTCATAAAATCTGCTGTTTATAAAACGGAAAAACTAAGTTATAGAAGTTAATAATTTTAGCAAAGTATATCTGCGCATTATAAAAAATAACTCATTTTTTCATGTCAAAATATAAATAGATTATATATGTCATTCATAAACAGATTATTAAACAAATCTTTCTTTCTTGATTTGAATGTATAACTCATTATAAATATAGAACTTTATCATAAATATTCGTTATAGCTTTAAAAAAGAAAGAATTTGAATATCTTTAAAACTTAATATCATTAAAATGCAGACTACACAAATGTATGTGAGAAATTTTAAAAATAGAAACTATTCTAAAATTCAAAATTTCTTTTATAAAATATTTTGAATAACATAAATTATAAAAAGAACGATAGAAATATCAAGTATTTCTATTAAGCTCATATTATAATGGGAGACTTCTACAAATATATATACATTATCGGAATTTAAATTATAAGGTTGCAAAATATATCTTTGCTTGTGATGAAATATCATATGAATGAATTCTAAGAGAATGTATTAAAAAGAATGCTATCATTTAAAATAGACGATGAATATTTTTCAATCTAAGCTTGCTTATATCTATTTCATATAGATTATTAGATTTAAGAGCACTTAGATAAGTCCATGATACGCAAAAGAAGATTATGACCTCATCATTTTTACATTAACAAAAAATACAAAACAGTCGTAGTTGAATCAGTCGGCAAGGTAAATAAAATATAAAATAACAATATATTATTTATAATTAAAAATATTTTTAGTTTTGTCTGGAAGACAGAATAATAATTATAAGGATAAAAAGAATATTTGAGTAGAGAGAAAATATATAGATAAAAGAGTTACGAAATATGATTTTTTTAAGTCAGGAATTATGTGTTTCAGGTCAAATTTTGTTGGTTATCTAGTACTTTTATTCCAAGATTTATGAGATTAAAAATTAAATACATGATTTTTTACAAATTATTCACAAATCTACAGTATCAGATGAAATCATATTTAATTTCTCTATAAATCTATAAATGAAGTAGAAGTATAAAGATAAACTTAAAAACAAAACATATTTGACATAATTCTTGAAATCCAGATTAGGATCAATAGACGATTTTTATTAATAAGATTAAGATGATTTATTATGCATCATTGATAGAGAAAATCATAGTGTTGTAATATTTATTTTATTTCATTCATTGATAATGTTTGAAACCTTGTCTGATAAATTCTTACTTGATTTTTTGAAATGTTTTTGTTTATTTAATTTTAGTCATGATGACGCTAGTTTTTTTTTGTATTATTTGAAGAAGCGTCTTCATTAAATATGAGTTGAACTATTTTTAAAAATATATCAATTTTTAATATATAGGTGACAAAGTTCAATTTGTTATTTAAAGAACTTTTGAATATGAAGAAAATAAAAAAGTGCATTTTTTATTAACCTACTCCATAGAAATTTTAATTAACTCTATATATTTTATATTTAGACTAAGAAATATAATCAATGAAACGAGAAACTATTGTTACAAATAATTCTTATGATACGTTATGTTTTGTTTTCTAATAACTCGGTCATTAGTCAATAAAGATGAAATGAACAAAACTTTACGACTTAGTTTTTATGACGGAATTTATGCTGATAAGTTGTAGAGCTAATCCAACTGATAATAGTGACTATTTGAGTATAAAAATACTCATAATTTTGATTAAAGGTTTTTCAACTTTTTGAATTAGGAAAAATGTCGTTCTTCATAGATACATGTAGTCCTATTTTCAGTAACAATTAATAATAGTCAATTTAACTCACTCGTAATGAATTATATTACTAAATTGTCGAGTCATTATTATGAAGAGACGTTTTCTTTTGATAATGAAACAAAGAATAATCTAATGAAATACTCAAATAATAAAAAAACTTAAAAAAAAAACAGCTCATTAAATTCAAGCTCATTAGATGTGAGCTTTATAATGGTGGCATGGATACGTACCTACCAAAGAATTATTCTAAAAATTAGATTATTATACATTTGTAATGTGTTATCATGTTCTTATACTAATAAAATATGTAAGACAAGTTATATGGCAATCGCACGTCATGATTCAAATATTTTAATCTTTTGTTATCACACCACTACACTATTGACAGTGAACGAGCGGGTATTATGATTTACATTGAGTTAGCAACTATGTTCTGTAAACAAAATCATTCATGTACAATATGATAATCACGTTTCTTTTTACTGTTTATCCTTTTCATTTCATGTCGAAAATTATTCAAATAACTTTTACTCTAATCTCTTATACTTTCTTTCAATTAGCAAGTTCAGAATAGAGATAATTAGTTCTCACACACTTTTCATTTTATAAAATAGCAATACGAATATAAATTTTTCTTCAATCAATATTATTACCGTTGACAAGGAGTTATGTTTAACAAATAAAAGATAGTATTTCAATGTTACAATGATTTTATTTTTCTCAACAAAAAATAACACTATAACCCTTTCGAATTAGTCGTTTTTTTCTGTCTGTTTATTGGGTTGACTGTTAAAGTTCTTCCAACCATTTCTAAAGGAGTGACAACGTGTACTTGTGGCCAATGAAAACATCGAAATGTGTTCTTTATTAAAGTTTTAAGTTTTGGTAATGTACTGATGCATGCAAATGGAAAAAGTAATATTATATAAGAAGAAAACAAATTTGCGTATCTACTATAATCAGCTCCTACATTCGATGGAACACCAAGTCTTTGAGAGATAGCCAGAAGTATAGGAGGTAAATAAAAAATATAGAAGATCAATGAAATAGATAAAAGTTGAATAACCATTTTACGATATTTTCTCCATTGCATTTGTTGTTGTAAACGACGCTTTTGCAAAGCGATACGAACGATCAGAAAAATACTACCAAATCCAATACATGCAGAAGATACTACACCACCTGACATAAATTCATATAGTGAGTATGTCACACTATCATATATACAACTATAATAGCTGCAATATACTGATTTATAGTTAAATCTTCTATGACAATCATTCATCGGAGTAGTAACACCATAAAGAACTATACCATATATGACAATTAAAACTATAGGTAGATAATGAATAAGAAAACGTTTCTTTTTGGTTGATATCCATTGATTATGAAAAATAATGATATGTCTTTCCATAGATGACCATCCGACTAGTTTCGGGACTGTTGTATATATAGTGCTATCAAAGAATTTCCAAATCATACAAAATATTGGTGATTGTATCCAAACTACACCATTAAGATAAAAGTACATCATAAAAGGAATAGTTGTTAACTCAAAAATGATACACAAGACAAGAACAACAATTATAACATGATTATGTAGAGCATGACGAAGAGTTGAATCGAAAAGAAAATGAAAAAGTACAAAGAGAGAACAGATAAGTGATAAAGTATTTGGAATGAGAAGTAACCAAAAACGACCAATGTATGGTATAGCAATACCATCAGAGATTGAAAATGATATAGTTTGTGTTGAATTAGTGTGTGATGTCGACATAATTTTGAATGCAAAATATGTAAATGAATAGCAAAGAAAAAAATGTTGTTTATAAGAAAATAAAGAAGAGATAAAATAATAATAAAAACAAAAAGTGAAAGGAAGTCCGTGGAGAAAGTGCTAAATATAGTCGAAAGAAAAATTATGAATATCCAGAGGTATGATAATATTTTAAATGAATTTATTATAATGTATACGCAAAACAAATTATCCTCATTGCTCTGATATAATTTCGATAAATAGAAAGTAGTTAAGAAAGGATTTTACACTTTGCTTTTAGTTAATAGTATGAAAGATAATGCGATTAATATAATTTTTTGTTCTATTTGTGTCATGTGATTTCATTAGCAAATAAAAAAAAACAAAAAGAATTCTCTGATATACTAGTTTTGAATGACTATTTAGATGTACGAATTTAGTAAAAAATAGTATCTATGTTTATGAAGAGATATCTTGGAAATGTTATAGTTAATTTGTTTAGTATGTGTTTAATTGAACATAAATTTATATATAGATTGATAAATATACTATCTAGTAAATAGATATTATTGATTTAATCATACTATAAGAATCAAATTTTGTTGTATGCATAAAAAAACATGGCTTATCGTTAGATTGATGTATACACATATATCACAAAAAATTTGAGTCTTATAACGAGAAAATATATCGAAATCTTTGGATTTCAAACATCATTCGTCAAAATAGAAAATCATCAAGTTTTTCAATCTTTTTTTCTAAAGTTAGTAAAATAATGACTGACATGTTCCACCGAAAATATAGCTTTGTTTTTAGTTACTCAAGTTAGAAGACTATGAATGCTTGGAATATTTTTATTTTAAACTATATAATCTCGGATTTATGGTAGCAGATCATTTTGATTCAGAGTTTACTGATAAATTCATCATACGTGTAAAATATAGTTTTCAATAAGATACTATAACGTCGCATTTGTAAACTAAACAAAATAAAAAAAGATCTATTGCTTAATTAACTAATCGGATAGACCAATAAAGCTGACAAAATTAATCTAACAAATAGGTTTTTTATTCTAATTTTTATTTAATCCATTAAAAATATTATCAGTGCATTTCTAATTCGTTTATGCGTCATTTTAACTCAGTTATTTTTAATAGAAAATATAGTACGTATTCTCAAATTCTTTAAGATAAAAAGTACTTAATAAAGTATATTAAAATTGAAAGAAGCGTATATATTTTTGCTAGAGGATTAAAATCTAAATTAAAAAAAGTTTGGTCTTGCGTCTTTGTCTCCATTGGTTGAATGTTAGATACGCTAATATATATTCTTCTGTAAGCTGAAGGCGAGTAATTATATAGTATAACAGGAGAAAATAATGAGTTTGTGATATTTTATTTATTTAATAAATCAATTATTTTTAAAAGATATCAACAATGAAGTATTGATTAATTTATTTAGTATATTGACAAAAATAGTCTAATTAATAATATTAATTATTTATGACGATATCTGTTAGATTATTGTCACAAATTATAATTCTAGATTGATACGAATATTTTTAAGGGTTAAACTGTATTATGAAACGAGTACAATGTATTTAATAGACGACTTTTGAACGATTCATACAGCATTAAAAATCAAGGCTCTTTGAGTAATCGTGTACATTCTCATTCAAAGTAACTGATATAAAGGATTATGAACATAATAAATATATTATGATTTAATTTATTAAATAGTATACTCGGATATACTTCTTCGAATAGAAATAGCCTTCAATATCAGTAAACAATTAGTTGATATAGACAGAAAATACGTACAAAAAGTCAAGAAAAAAAATCAAGTAGAAATCGTATATAATAGAATGAACTAAAAATAAGATTCTATTCTTATTATTTGGATGGTGTCTTTCCACCTAATTCAGCAACAAAACTAAGTACTTCATCTTGAATTTCTTTATCCATTTGATCATAATCTGTTCTTTCAAAATATGATTCATCTTCTGGTACAATTCTTCGTTTTTCACTCCATTGTTCGCAACCATCAAATGGAAAATCATAACCAGGACGATATTTAGGCCAACTTCGATAATGATTAATTCCTTGTACAGATGTACCACTCATCATCATGACTGGTTGTTCTTTACTGAGACATTCTGTAGTTGGAGCAATATATCTAAAGAAAATGAATTATATTTTCTCACAAAATATATATTTTTTAAATACCTTATTGTTAATCCACATCGTCTTCTATCACTTGTATTTGCTTCAGAACCATGAATAAGATTCGGATGATGTATGCTGATATCTATAAATAAAATTAACTTTTAAGATAAAAAAACGTATCTGTCTGATTTAATTATCATATCTTTTAGAATATATGGAACTCTATAATAAATTAAATAGATTATGAAATATCTCCACGTAATGAGAAAACATATTTAAATTCTTGTTTTCTACTATCAAATTTCTTTCTAACAACACAACTTTATCTCTTTTATGTTTATATATGAAATAAACATAAAAAAAGATTTAATGACTGTAAAATGTTCGACAAATATAAAAGTGCTCAGACTTACCACCAGGCTTTAGAATAATATCAACAATTTGATTTTGATCAATATCTTCGTCTCGATGTGTATAACTGCCCAAAACATTACTAACTGTAACATCATCCTTTAACGTAGTCAATTCTTGTTTATGACTACCACGAATTACTCTCAAACATCCATTTTCCTTATCGCTTTCATCAACAGCCAACCACATTGTTAACACATTCATTGGTTTCAGTGGCCAGTACGAGCCTAAAAATAAGCGAAAAATTTCTGTAAGTTCTCTGCATAGAAATTTAAAAAAAAATATTATTTACCATCTTGATGCCACAGAACAGTCATGCCTGTTTTGGCTGGTTTACAAAAGTAATGCGATGAAAATATGGCAACACCTTCATCAGATTTTAAGAAAGGTGCTCCAAAAAGAGTAGCCAGATCCAGTAGACGCTGATCACTTATTAATCGAACCCAAAATGGATCATTACGCATTATAGGATGATGTAAATGTTCGCCTGGTATAGATGGATATTTATTTCGTAAAAAGTCTACATGTTGTTGACATTCTTTTATTAAATGATCATCAATGACATTTCGCAATATTACAAAGCCATCACGGTGATATTGATCAACCAAATTAGAATATTGATTTGTCATTAGAAATTACACGAGCAATAATCTAAAACTACAAATAAACGCAACATTCTTTCTATACTCTACTTAATAATCAAGCGTTATATAAGTAATATTTGAATACCGTGATAGAATGAAGTATAAAGTGGAGACGTGTGCTTATATAGATTTTTTTTAAGTGAAAATTGTTATCTTTTATCTAATTCAAGGTAGAGCAAAAATGAAGATGTAAACTCGATAGAAACAATATACTTGCACATGTTTTTTTTCGACAGTAGACTACCCAACATCGAAGAATTACTTGGAGTTTTGGTCGAAACAATGAAATGATAGATATTAAATATAATACTTGTGGTAAAAAGAAAAAAAATCATTATAAATACTATTGATCAACTTTTAAGCATAGCAGTTTTGTTAGATCAATCCTATCCGATTTTGCATGTTAATAATTAACTAACTATAAAATAATTCGATGCATTGAATTAATTTTCAAAAATAAATTTAAACTTATTGCTAATGGGTGACATTATATTTGAATGAAATAAAACAGAAGTAAAATTATTTTTTATTGATTGTAAAATGAATTGAAGAAAAACTTAAAAGATTTCTATTGAGATTTCAAATTTTTAAAGATGATCGATGATATCTCGACAAAGAGAACATTCATCTAGAAGGGTGTGGTGTATGGATTGAAATGCGAGTATCTTATTTATATCTTATTCACATCCTCAAAATGATATGCATATCAAAAGATTTTTATGTAGAAACAAAGTGAAAATAGTAGTTAGATTAATAATGATAAAAGAAATTATGACTATGCCAGATATGTTGTAAACGATTTCTACTTAAGTTTTTCCTATAGAACTATTATTTTCTGCTTTGATTTATTTGTGAATGTTTCATTCATCTTTATTGGATTTTAGGATGTTCATACATATCAAAATGAAAATAGAATGAGTTGTCCAACTACAAACATAAACATCCATACATACTGTTCTGTGTAATATGCAGCTTAAAAACTACCATATGAAAGTTTCATTTTAATATGATCACATTACCACAGCATTGGCAATGAACGAGTGAGTATTATGATATACTTGAAATTAGTAACTGTTCTATAAAAAAAATCATTCATACACAGTATGATAATCACGTTTCTTTTTACTGTTTATCCTTTTCATTTCATGTCGAAAATTATTCAAATAGCTTTTACTCTAATCTCTTATGCTTCCTTTTAATTAGCAAGTTCAGAATAGAGATAATTAGTTCTCACGCATTTTGCATTTTACTATATAATTTTGTTCATCATCAAATAGCAATACAAATATAGATCTTTCTTTCTTCAATATTATTACCAATCACAGGTAGTTGTGTTTGACAAATAAAACATAGTATTTCAACATTATAATGAATTTATTTTTCTCAAAAACAATATCACACTGCAACACCATCTAACTAATTGTTTTCTTCTCTCTCTTTGCTTGGCTGGCTGTTAACCGTTCTTGAATAACATGTAAAGGAACAATAGTAGGTATTCGTCGTCGACAAAAATAATGGAGAGTTTTTTTTATTCGAGTTTTCAGTTTTGGTAATGTATTGATGCATGCAAATGGAAAAAGTAATATTATATAAGAAGAAAACAAATTTGCGTATCTATTATAATCAGCTCCTACATTCGATGGAACACCAAGTTTTTGAGAAATAGCCAGAAGTATAGGAGGTAAATAGAATACGAAAAAGATCAATGCTATGAACATCAACTGAATTGATATTTTACGATATTTTCTCCATTGCATTTGTTGTTGTAAACGACGCTTTTGTAAAGCGATACGAACGATCAGAAAAATACTACCAAACCCAATACATGCAGAAGATAATACACCACCTGACATAAATTCATATAGTGAGTATGTCACACTATCATATATACAACTGTAATAGCTGCAATACACTGATTTATAGTTAAATCTTCTATGACAATCATTCATCGGAGTAGTAACACCATAAAGAACTATACCATATATGACAATTAAACCTATAGGCAGATAATGAATAAGAAAACGTTTCTTTTTGGTTGATATCCATTGGCTATGAAAAATAATGATATGTCTTTCCATAGATGACCATCCGACTAGTTTCGGTACTGTTGTATATGTAGCACTATCAAAGAATTTCCAAATCATACAAAATATTGGTGATTGTATCCAAACTACGCCATTAAGATAAAAGTACATCATAAAAGGTATAGTTGTTAACTCAGCAATAATACAAACGATAAGAATAACAATTATAACATGATTATGTAGAGCATGACGGAGAGTTGAATCGAAAAGAAAATGAAAAAGTACAAAGAGAGAACAGATAAGTGATAAAGTATTTGGAATGAGAAGTAACCAAAAGCGGCCAATGTATGGAATAGCAATGCCATCAGAGATTGAAAATGATATAGTTTGTGTTGAATTAGTGTGTGATGTCGACATAATTTTGAATGCAAAATATGTAAATGAATAGCAAAGAAAAAAACTGTTGTTTATAAGAAATAAAGATGAGATAAAATAATAATAAAAACAAAAAGTGAAAGGAAGTCCGTGGAGAAAGTACACAATATAGGCGAAAAAAGATTATGAACTCCAGCAGTATGATAATATTTTACCAGAACTTTCTTATGATGTGCATACAGAACAAATTATCGTCATTACGCTGATGTAACTTTGATAAAAAGAAAGTAGTTGTGACAGGATTTTGCACATTGCTTTTAGTTAATAGTATGAAAGATAATGCGATTAATATAAGTTTTTGTTCTATTTGTTTCATGCGATTCCATTAGTAAATAACAAAGAAACAGAGAAGATTTTTTCATATACTAATTTTAGGTGTGGGTGTTTCTTATTTAGTTACATCAACATAGAGTGGGGAAAGTTCATGATTTTCTATCAGGTTTCTTGAACGCTTCAAGTTTCGTTCATTTCAGAAACAAAAGTGCAATAAGAAAAATAGTGGTCTATTGCAAATTCTAGAATTTTTCACACTACACCTTTTCGTATATTTAGTTTTTTAGTTGAGGAAATAAAATAATGAAAAATGAGGTACAAAATGCATTGACTCATTGTACGCCACAAACTATATATAAAATTTCAAACGAATCGTACGAAAAATGTAGAAAGACAACACATACATAAATAGTCTGAATGTTTTTGTACTGTGTAGTTCCATAGCGTTTGCAATAAAAGTCATTATTTATTTTTGATGTTTTCCGTTATTCTTCTATGTATATAAATTTTGCAGTATTTTTTTGTGTACTTCAGTTAATTCTAATATATTTTGAATAGTGTTAACTTCTATTTTAGCTGGTGTTATTCGATTTTCAACAAAACCGGTATGATTATGATTATTAAAGTAACGCAAATATTTTTTTATGAGTCGATTGAATTGTTTACGAAATGGTGGTAATGAATGATGCTAGAAGATAAATTAATGATGGATTCTTTTTCAATCTATTCATAAATAGAAATATTTAGTTGCTTACTGATTTAATTCAAATATATAACACTCGTAGAAGACATAGTTAAAATAATTGTTGATAAAGTTCGAAAGCACTTGATATGAAGATATTAATAAAGCTAAGAGTCTTTCAATATTTATTTTAAATGATTAGAGAAGAAAAGCAGAGTAATGAACACATGTAAAATTGACTCGACTTATTCATATAAATACTTTCAGTTATTTTCCAAAAGAAAAAATGAAAGAGAATTAACGTCACTATTTTTTTTAAATAAATAAAATTAATCTCATTTCTGTTGTTAGTTTTTAAAAGTAGATTAAACGATAATCTGGATGAATAATTTATCATCATTCATATTAATAATATTTATTCTATTATGTCATATATTTAAAATGTGATAAATTCATTTTTACGCAAGGTAATATCGGGGAAAGACAGATAAACACATATAAGAGCAACAGATAATTAATAATTCTAAAAGTGTTACGAACGAAAAATGGAAACAAAAATAAAATAAAATGATGCTGAATTTTTTATAGTATATCTTCCTTGACAATCAAAAGTTTTATTGGTTTCATTGACTTCATAAGACTTCATTTTTTGAATGTAATCATATCTCCAACGACATGCATATGTAAAAGTAGTTGATATAATAGAACGCCATAGACGAGTTCTTCCTAAAACTATATTAATTTGTTCATTATCATTATTAATATCTAATTGAACATCTTCATTATATGTCGTATAGTTTATCATTAAATTCAAAGATATTTGATTACTATCTTATATAAGATAAGATATATTATAGTAAAACTATAAAAAATAATTTCTGTCGATATATTCCTTAGAAAAAAAACAAAAAATATTAAATACCTGTATTCTTCTACTAATCAGCAAGTGTTGTATGATTTTTTTTCTCCCGCATGTCCGTTTGATTGTTTTTAAATTCATTGTACACAAATGCAATATTCTTTCTATACTATTCCAAATAATACCAAGCACAAAAAGAATGAAAAGAAAGGTTTGATAGTGTTCTTTTTACTTTCTCTTAACTATAATGATCAAATAGAGAACGTTATTATTGATTTGGTTTCTCTCGACAGCAAAAATAATTAAAATAAAAAATTTGCATTTTTTGGTCATTTTTCGTTACTTTTGAAGATATAAAATAAAAATTACAATTATTATTCGCGTATGCTACATGCATTACGTATTAAGATTATAATACTTGTTTCATACTTCAATGAAAAAATAAATATGAGACCCGTTGATTTTCAAATCGACACCTATACTGTATAATCATTCATTAGAACAATTAGAGAATCAGTTGTTCAATTTAGATTTTTGAATTATATGAATAAAACCAGTTTTCAACATGAGTCAAAATGTAAATCTATATTATATTTGATACTTTCAAACTTAATTGATATTGATGTATATATCGAAATAAATGTTAAACTTTATAGTAAAGTATTAATTTGAATAATAAATTTTTCGAAAAAGTTCTTTTCTATCTTTCGATATAAGAAAAAAATAACTTTAAATTGAAATTATAATCTTTAAAAGTTTTCTTCTAATTATAAACCTATTAACTTTGAAAAAACTGTACATACAGATATACAGTTTGTCCACGTGTTCAATCTAGATCCTTATCAATAACTTGTATGTATCAAAAGTTACTCACTTTTGCTTGTTCTTTAGCATCAGATATATTGACGTCTATTACGACGAAAACTATTGTACACGTTAATGTATCTATAAACAATATTGTATTAATTAATGTGCATTCATGCATACGACATCATATCGTCGATATATATGTGTACATAAACTGCTTTGTTCGTCAAATGCGCATTTATATAGATACCGTCGGATCGATACAGTGTGCACATATAACAAATGAAGTTTAATCAGTTATTTTCGAGTAATATACATGACTTCTTTTTCGATTTTTTATGTATATAGTCAATACTTTTATTTCATTTGTAATATATCTATTTGAGAATGTATAAGTTCGACTGTTTTAAAACTTTTAAGCATCGTACATAATTCTATTTCCATCGATTTTTTAGAAAATGTTTTATTTTATTCGATGACCTTTCTTTTCTGTTAAATATTATTATAGTCTAACAGACACTTAAAGAATAGATTTTATACAGAATATCTCAGATATTATTTTTTAAAAATAAAAAACGTTTATTATCAATTGAATAATAATTTCAATTTTTATTCATAAGAAAATAAATGCAATAGATTCTACATCAGGTGGGTGTTGTTATATTTGTAATGGCGTAATATGACATTTACTTTTATTAATTTTAGTATTTCATAATGTTTATTTAAATACTTTCGAAAAAAAATGACATCTTTAGATTTAGTAGAAAAATTATTGAATACAAATTATGAATATGATGGTAAATATGAACCTAACCAAAAAGGCACATCACAAGAACAAATAAATATTAATGATAAGAGCGTTATTTCATTAGATAAGTCATCGAATCCAATATTATCGGATGGAGAAAACATCTTACCATCAGTTACTACTGGTTTAAAAAATGACATATCACAAAAAGTCGATAATAAAGCAGTTTTATCAAATTTAATTCCGCCACAAATGGATTCATCCATCTTAAATCTAGAAGAAAATAATCTTGTTCAAAATCACATTGGGAATGAAATGAATTTAGAAAAAGAATATGGAGGAGGAGAAGAAGAAGAAGTAATAGTTGTTCTCGATCCAAATAAACCACGAAAAGTTACTGAAAAAATAAGTCTTTCCAATAATATTATCCGTTTGGTACGTGGTCCATTCAAATGGATGATTCGTGGCTTAATGTATGCTGCTGAGACATCCGCAGAAGTAGTGGGTAACAGCAAGACTTCTATGGGAGCTGTGCAACGAGGATTAAATAGACAGAAAGAAAATGCAATCGAACATCAAACTACCTATAATCCATTTAAACCTCCGTATACTGAATTGACATCAGATTGGAAATTTGAGAGCGAAAATTCTGATCAAGGTTTAAGTAGTGTAACAGTATGGATACGAGATCCTCAAGGTCGACGAATTTTACTTAAAACAGAAGATCATCCATTATCTGCTGCTAATGAATGGTTATGTTATGTTTTAGGTCGTGTAGTTGGTTTGCCTGTAAACGAAGTACAGATTGCAATGTATAAAGATTTTCTAGTGACTTTGCATACAGATGTTGCTCGTGAAGATGAAAAAATGACTACATTCATGGACTTACCAAAACAAAAAAGAGAGATACTTTTGGGTGAACCAATAATTGCGTGTATGGATTTTTTTGACCGTATAACACAGGATGCAGATCGTAATCAACGAAATATTTTACTTACAATGCCAAAGACAACTGATATTAATGATGATAATGCAAAATTAAGGGTACATTTTGTTGATCATGGAGCTTGTTTTGGCATGGCTAAACTTAATGGTATTAGTGTTATAGGCACTAAATATCAACATAATCATCTTGCAGTAGTTGCATATGATCCGAAAGTGAAATCAAAACAATTCGAAGAATATCTCAAGCAACTTCCAATAGCAGATCGTCCTTTAATTGGCAAAACATTATATCGTTTTGCATCGATTAATAACAATCAGTTTGATAGTTGGATTACTGGCATAGAGGATCTACTAACATCTAGTCAATACAATCGTATAATTACTGTCTTATATCAGCAACGAAATATTGCAAGACGCTATGTAGCCAAATGGGGTATTTATCCAGAACCTAGTGTAAAGACAATTTACAATCTTTAACTTAATTTATTCTCTGACATCTACTTATCGCTAACAATTTTCGAACATAGATAATATTATAGAAATGGTTATAAATTTAATTTTTATATCTTTAATAAAAATATTAAATATTTTAAACCAATATTTTGATGCAATTTAATAACACAGATTATGTCATGAAAATATTTTCTATAAGCATAGTTGTGCACTCAAGCTATTGTATAATACTTTGACAAATCTTCAAAAATATCAATCTAGTTCTTATGCACAGAATTTAAATATAAAAGATTTCTTTTTATGTTTCATTCAATCTCAGTTTCATAAAAAAATGAGAAGAAAATAGATAAACACAAAGATTTAATTATTTATTCAAATAAATATGAAAAAAAGTAAGCATGTTCCTTTAAAATAATCCATGTCACCAACAATAGTTAATAAGAATGTCTCTTACTATATATATATATATATATAAGTAAATCATCAATATTAATGATAAGTATCTGTTCATTTAAAATCATTTATTTTGTTTAAATACAAATAATTCAATCTATTGCTTCAAGTATTTCATTAATTACGACGATGCTATTTAAGAAATGAAGACTTCGATTTTTATTCATTTTACTATTGCCATCATGATAAATTGCTCATGTATAATATGATAAAGACGTTACTTTTCTCTGTCTTCTTTATCTCATGCATAAAAATATTTCAGAGCATCTATAAGCAAATGCTTGTTTTCATTCCGCAAATTAAGAATAAAACGCATTAGTAGTTGAATGTATTTCATATTCATTATTTTATGATAACAAAACTAAAAATCTTTTTTTTTTGTGGTATTATCAGTGTTAATTGGATAATGATATTATGAAAATATGAAATTAGAATTATAATAGTCAAATACAATAATCAATTTATTTTTGTTAAATAATTACAACACAAATACAATAAGTTCTACGGATTCGTAATTTATTGTTTGTTCATTCGACTGACCACTGGTACTCGTGAAGCCCATTGTTCAGGATGAACAACATTTGCTTGTTGTCTCCATCGACATCGAAGAATATTTTTTATTCGAGTACCAAGCTGTGGTATTGTACTTAAACATGTAAACGGAAAAAGAAACGTAATATAATAAGCGAATAATGAAGCATATGTATTGTATTGAACTCCAACATCAGATGGAAGGCCAAGTTTATATGCAGTACCCAAAATCACAGGAGGTAAATATAAAATAAAGAAGAGCGATGTGACAGACAATAGTTGAAGTATCATTTTACGATGTTTTCGCCATTGAATTTGTTGTTGTTGTAAATGTCGCTTTCGAATAATCACACGTAAAACAAGAAAAGTACTACCAAATCCAATAAGAACAGAACTTAATATTCCACCAGTCATAAATTCATACAGACTAAATACTGCACTATCATAAATACAACTATAATAAGCACAAAAAGGTATAAAATAATACAATGGTCTATTACAATCTTTCATAG